CCCTCTTCTCTATTGAGAGTCAGAAGGATTCTGTGTTTAGTGATATGGCACAATAATGCCCTTCTAGCTCTGAGTAAGAGATATCCTTCCAGGGAGAAAAGAGGTCAAAACAATCACCTGTAAGACTTCATTGTCAAAGAAAATCTTTCTTGTTTCCTCTACTTCTTTGTCAAATACTTCCTTTCCTCTTTGGATTGATTGGAGTGGAAAGTGGTTTGACAGATGGCTTACCTCTCGACTAAAGATAGATTTATCATTGGTATCATATCAAGTAGATCTTGAAGCTCCTCCATGTCAATATAGGAGGGCTTCCCATTATGTTTCCCCTTGAGGTCCAGAGTGGTTCTACAGGTGGTCCAAGTTTCAAAATTCCATCTTGGACCTATGTCCATATCTAATCCTAAACCTATTGCAAAACCCAAACTTGTGCAACCCAAACTGTAAACTATATATATCTGGGATGAAATGTAAGACCATGGACCCTACCACAAAAGCATGTGTCGGAGCTTGGAGCACCTCCAGACTAAATCAGAGCTATACATATGAGGGATGGCATCACATTTTAGGGAAAGGGGGGGGGGGGGTCCATGTAAAAATGTAGAATTGGGGCAAGGAATAATAACAGATTGTCATAAGATTAGATTTGATCTTGGAAGAATTTGGTATTCTCAGAAAGAAAAAAAATCAGTAAGCTCACCTAGTCTCCTTTCCTTCCCATATTTTTCCATTGTACTTTAGTAGGCATGATGTGTGATTGCGCATGTCAGCAATGATTTAAATTGTATTGTCAGCTTGAAGATTTCTGGTTGGAATATGATGGTACTTTTGTCTCAGTGACCTACTTCCTCTGAATAGCCATGTTTCTGAACATTGCAGATTTGAGTAATTAACATTTATATAGAGTGGAACCTATCCTCAAAACAACAGTGCAAATTACCACTGTATACCATAAACAAGTGGCCTTTCAGTTCCACAACACAGATATAGTTCTAGAGGGAGATGATATGTGATCATTATATATTCATAGTGCTTTTATAGAGCAGTGGATGCTAAGGTATGTTTGATAGTATCTCTTTGGTTAGACCATTGATCTACATGTACTACCAGTAATAATAATAATAATAATAATAATACTCAGTTTTTATATAGCGCTTATTAGAATCAAGCGCTTCCAAACTGGTGAACTGTACCTGTGGTTGCAGATTGGGTCTGATGGTAGTTGTAGGATTATTGTAGAGGCATCGGGGGCCTTCTGAGGAGAAAACAGTCTAGACGTCCAAAGGAGGAAAGAAGTGAAACCACGTGGGGAAATTTTGTGCCCCCATCAAAACTTTTATTGAGTGGGACAGTACCATAAAATAGGATTAGAAAGGTTTGCATAGTAATATGGTCAGGCATGACGTAAGTTTGTGACGTTATTTGTGAGGCCTAGAAGCATTAATGGCAAAGACCAACCCTTTAACGTTTAAGGGCAACCAACCTGTGTAACGGAATATTTGTATGAAAGCTTAAAAGAAATAGACAAACAGAATGGCGAAAGTTTGAAATGAAACAAAGCAAATAATAAGAGATTTATTAATGGTATAGGCCAGTGCTACTGACAAGTAGTCCCCATTTTAGTTTGCTCAATTAGGCGGTAAAGTAGTTCCTGTTCTTAGTAGGTCCATGGGCTTATTTAGGGTCTACATTGGTCCTTTCATCAATAATGGACCGTTAAGGCTTGGATCTACTTATGAGCTCCCCTGCCAAGGATCGGGTCCAATCAAAGTGACAATGAAGGGGGAATTAAGCAGTCAACAACCCTCTTAAGTTGAGTCATTTGTGGGGTCAGCTGATTGAGATATCCTGAGTGATTAAGTCCCTCTTTAGGATAGAGGGTTAATTAGTCAGGGATTAGAGGGAAAGTCAAGCAGGGAGAGTTTAAGAAAGGATGAAGTCATGATGAGAAGATAATTAAGGGGATGGGATGTTTGTGGTCTCTTGTTATTCTTCAAGATTGTCTTGAACATCTTTTTTTTCCTTCCTATTATGTTCCAATTTATTATTTGTATGTAAATATTACTCCTCTTCTGTTAATACTTCTTCTTCTTTCACTTCTACTTCTTTCACTTCTACTTCTTCTTCTTCTCCCTCGTCTTCTTCTTCTTCTCCTTCTTCTTCTTCATCATCTTCTTCTTCTTCTTCTTCTTCTTCTTCTTCTTCTTCTTCTTCTTCTTCTTCTTCTTCTACTACTACTTCTTCTTCTTCTTCTTCTTCTTCTTCTTCTACTTCTTCTCTTTCTCCTTCTCCTTCTCCTTCTCCTTCTCCTTCTCCTTCTTCTTCTAATTTTGCAATTCACAACATCTAACTTTGCTACATGAACTGTAGTCACTTCCAAATTTACCCATTTAATGAATCATCGCTTACACTCCAAATTTCATTTGGTGCAGATTTTAATCACAAGCAGACATAATCCTTTTTCTTTGCTATTTTACTGATGATCCTGTGACATTAATCATTTATCCATGGGGGAAATCCAGGATTATCTCACAGACCATAATACAGCATAGGTTGTTTACAGATGCAGTCTGACTTTTAAAGAAGACGCAGATGTTTCTCAATCCTTATTTTCCTTAGTCAGGTGTTGCCAATTTGTTATTTGTAAGATCTACTTGGAAATCACTACCGATTAGGTAGAAAATCGGTGGTCTGGATGTGTGCAGTTTTGACACATCATAATGATCTTTCCATGTGAATTATTCTAGGTTTTAAATATGTAGAATTAAAGTGTAAAATTACAAAATCAGTAGTTTCAGGAAATTAGATGGCATCTTTTGAAAAAAAAACATTACCATTGTCAGGGGCCAATACAAATCCAACATACTTTAGAAAGTGAATGTATTACTGGTAGCTCATAATTGGCCAAGGCACAGTACAATATTAAAAAAGGAATGTTTACTTTTAATTATGTGAAATGAAAATGATAAAAGGAAGTGAAATGGTGGGAACATTTTAGAGGATTTTGTCCTTTTCATGCAGTGCCCATCCAAGGATATTCTTTGTTGCCCGATGGCCATCAAAATCTATGCCACAAAACTTGTTTTTGTATTCGGTGCAGATTGGCCTAATAATCGCATTTATGTCGCAATTTGCTAGTCATAGTTTTTCAACGGAAGGTATGTGTGGTATTTTGCCATTATCTCTGTCTGAACCGGCTAATGTTAAGAAAATGATGTTTTGCAAAAATCTGATACGAGTGGGATTCTCTTCCATTAAGATTGTTTTGTGTAGTTCCAAAACAACTGTCGCCTGGAATGTTGACGTATTTCACATACAACAATATAATTAGTGACATTTGTTGGTAATGTTTATTTTGCATTTTAAAACTTGTTATTGTTTTCCTTGTTTGTTTGTGTCGAGTGTGCAAGAGATGATATAAAAGACTATCAGATGAGTAGATTGAAAAGAAACATAAACAGAAGGAGTGGAAAGAGGGAGAGAAACGGAAAGAGAAAGAAAGAGGGATGGGAGAGAGAGATTAAGAAAGAGAGAGAGACGCAGATATCCCAAAAGAATGAAAGATAGTGGGAAGGAAAGAAAGAAAGAACAAAAACAGGGAGAGGTTGATTTGTTCATGGAGGAATGTAAGTAGGATAGATATTTGAAATAAACAGAGAAAAACAGTAAAGTCAGAGAGATAGAGAAAGAAAAACAAAAATAATAATAAAAATTTAATTTTTATATAGCGCTTAATACAAATGTCTCTAAGCACTTTACAAATATGCTACATGTATTACCCCGGTCATTGGATTCAGTGCTTGCCCTCACACAATGTGTGCACAATCTCCACTCCCTGGGGAGCATTCCAACATGGCGTTACATGACGCTCAAAAACTGTTTGACCAACAACGACGGTCGCATCATAAAAACATAGAATGGGAAGGGTCTGTTGAGAAACTATTAGTGAAAGTGCAGAGGGAGAGAGAGAGAGAGAGAGAAATGGAAAGAGAAAGAAAGAGAAAGGGGGAGAAAGGTAGATATACATATATATAGAGAGAGAGAGAGAAAGAGACAGAGACAGACAGGGTGAGAGAGAAAGGGAAACAGACGGGTTGAGAGAGAAAGGGAAAGAGAGAAAGAAATGCACAGAGAAATCAAATAACAAACCTGAGGGTATGTAAAGACCTTGACATCAATGTCAACTTTCTGATCATGGCGAGTTTGAAAAATGGCTTTTGGCAAACATGAAGACAGCTCGCGCTTCTTGGGGCATAATGTTTTCGACATGACAGTCTGAAGTCTGAAGTGCGCAGGGATGTTAGTGATACTTCGGGGTAGATGATTTCCAGCTTTCGTTCGGAAGTTTGTCAGCTATAAATAAAGACAGATGTTTGGGGAATATGATGTTCAATGTTACATTTGTTTGGGAGAACAGTTTACTTTGGCCCCTCTACTCTAGGGAATTGTCATTTAAAGAGTTGTCTTGAGGCCATTTTGTAGGCCGGTGCCATTAAGGTTCTCTTTGTTTACAAAGCATTCTCCATTTAATGTGTCAACATGATTAAAGAAATGTTGCTGTGTGATGGAGGAACATACATTTCATTTAAAGCCCCACTGCACTGCTTATATAGCTACTTGCGCCCTCTACATGTATATAGCAAACAATGCCTAATCGGTGACCATTGGCCCCCAATGGTCTACTTTTTCTTATGATTATTGAGAGCTGATTTGATCAGATAACCACCTGTCAGGGACCATGCAGGGAGGTCCAATCCCTCCAGGCCAAACTAGTGCAGATAGGCTTTAAGGCATGTGTAAATGAATGACCTCACATTTTTTTCCTTCTCAGGTTTTTGTTAGGTGCGTTAATCTTGTACATGTAACTATGGTTCTGCAAATGCAATTCTCGACAGGCTACTCGTACATGTTGTATGCTTACCTCTTCGTTAGGCAGAATGAATTTTAACTACTTAAATAAACTTATTAAACCTTCTCTTATTCTCTGTGTTATCTCATTTCAGCCTCAGAATATACTTCTGACCTCCAAAGAAACCAGTGAGAGTGACATAAAGCTGATAGACTTTGGAATCGCACGCTACCTCAACCAGGGAGAAGAGATAAGAGACATTCAGGGCACACCAGACTATGTTGGTAAGTGGTTTACACTAACTATACCTAGCAGGTCCTTCAACCATGGACCTACTAATCCTGGATCAAACAATATTCCTACTTGTAGGTTTAATTATCCATCACCCAAGTTTCCTGATAAAATCCATGGACTGACACATATCTGTTGAACAAAAGACATTGATCCACCACCCTATAATTCACTTTTGTCAAATCAACAGACACCATGGCATTGGTCAACCTCACTGGCATGGAGAAACTTTTACATCGTCTGTTTGACTTGTTTGTGCTTCTTCTAAAAAGCAGAAGTTACTCCATTTCATCTCCAGGAGATAGTAATAATAATAATAATTGGATTTATATAGGGCCTTTTCCAAAGGTTACAAGGCGCTGCTCTCTTAGACTTTCAACAAGGAGATTCTCTGCTACGAGACCATCACACTCTTCACGGATATGGAAGTATATTTATGTTCTAACTTTTGTCTCATTTTGCCATATCCTCCAGCTCCTGAGATCCTCAACTACGATCCCATCACCCTCTCCACCGACATGTGGAGCATTGGCGTCCTGACCTACGTCATGCTGACGGGGATCTCGCCCTTCGCCGGAGACACCAAGCAGGAGACCTTCCTCAACATCTCCCAGCTCAACTTAGACTTTGCCGAGGAGGACTTCAGCTGTCACTCCCCAGAGGCCAGGGACTTCATCCAGAGTCTCTGCGTGATCGATGCAGAGTAAGTAGAGAAACCTGGGGGGCATTTCACAAAACTTGTCATCAGTGACAAACGTGACAGTTTTTGTTATAAGCTCCTTGCTTCTGATTGGTTATCAACAGATTGATCACTGATTTTTGTAATTATCATTAAAAAAAAGCTTTGTGAAAGAAAACTTGTCATCAGTGACAAATGTGACAGTTTTTGTTATAAGCTTCTGATTGGTTATCAACAGATTTGTCACTGATTTTTGTCATTTGTCATTGAAAAAAGGCGTTGTGAAACAGGCCCCAGATGTCAGAGAGCTGAAGGGAGAAAAGGGAAATCAGTTGTCCTTGGTTTGAAATAAGTGTAGTTCTAACAATATTAGGGGGCAGGGGGTAGAAGCAAAAGATGGTTGATAGTCGGAAGGGCATTACCCTTTGTTATCTGATAATTGATATCCGTGAATATTCTTCTGGCTCTGGGTAAATAAAAACTGAAAATAACATTTTGTTGATCACAGGAATTGATTCCTTGATATACAGTGTTGATAGTTTTTGTGTATAAACTACTGGGTCCGTTGCATAAAGTCTATTAAAATTGATGGTAACTTTGCCATCAATGGCAACTACCATGTTAACAGGGCTCAACAGCCAATCAAAATCAAGGTCTCCATGGTAGTTGCCATTGATAGCAAAGTAACCATCAATGGTAAGTTTTATGCAACAGGTCTCAGCCACTATCTTCAGTTTATGAATGAAAAAAAGAAATCCAAAGACAAGACATCTTTTGGCCTTCTGAGTACGGGTGTTCTGAGTCATATTTATTAGCCTTGATTGAAGTACTGTACGATGTTGTTTCCAGCGTTGCTTACGTTTACTGATGATTTTGGATTCTATGTTGATTGCAGGAAACGCCTGAGTGCTAAAGAGTGCCTTGATCATCCATGGATCCAGAAATTCAGCAGCATGCCTGTTACCCGGGTGCTTGACGACAACGAGAATGTGACGCAGCAAGATAAGTACGACACCGAGGTCTCATCGCTCACCATCAACGTGGTCATCCAGAATGACGACAATGAGGTCGTCAAGAAGAAGGGGACGGACGAAGAGAACGACAACTACCTGGAGAACCGAACCGTGGAGTACGTCTCGCCGAGGGAGGTGAAGAGTCCAAATGAGCAGGTGCAGGATTCTGAAGCCTGTTTAGATGTCAGGAGTGGGATCATCATAGAAGAGATTCTTTCAGACATGGATGTTCATATGGATGTGGAGAGCAAAGACGGACAAACGGACACCACCCAGGACCTTCCCCACATTCAGGAAGAGGTCCAGGTTTTATCTCAGTATTCAAAGAGCTTTGAGGTTTTAGATCATGAACTAGTAGAGAAGCGCGAGTATCCTCTTATCTCGCAACCGAGGCAAGTCATCATCGAGAGTCTAGAGGACTCTCCTGCGGCGGTGTCTCTGCAAGGGGAGAGCAGTGTGGCCCTGGGAGACATGAAGTGCAGGAGCTGCAACAGGTTACACCCAGAATCACAAAGTGCCTCTGACCGGAGCAGGTCACCATCCTCCAGCCCTATGGGTACGCGGCGGACCCTCTGCCCGAACAAGGAGAACTTTCCTAAAGACATCCGGGAACCCAAGAGGTTCTGTCTGGAAGTGGTCCCTCAACAGCAGGGCCAAGTCGTCTGTTGATAGTCGCAGGTTTTCCAAACAATCCAACATATTTATTCTAGATATTGTTTTTATCATTGTTCATTAGCGATGACTGACAGTTTCAGTACATTTTTCACATTAAACAATCACTTGGGAACGTGTTATGTTAGTGGGGAAGAGTTTTAAATTCTTGGCATTTTAGAGGTTTTATTTGAAATCATTTTATGGATGATTATTATCATTGAATTATAGTGTAAAGAGAAGGAAATGTGAATATATAATGTATGAAATTATTTGAATTCATTGTAGTGCTGAGCACTTAAGTAAGTTAACATTTATGGTACCAAAGTAACTTTTTACTTAAATAAGTTGTTAGGTCTTGTTGATTCAAGACCTCAGTAAACTAATGCCTTGCTCTTTGCAGAGAGTTCCTATACAAAATAAAAGCGACATCAAGAACTTCCAAAATGAGGCAACTTTTGTGAAAAGGGTGCTATGTGTTTTCTGTGTGTAAGTATTAAGAATAACTATGCATTTTTATACAATTCATCATGATTCCGTTGGTGAGAAAACGTGAGAAGGCCAAAACAGTTGTCTTCACAAAAGGGGAAAAAAGAGAAATATGCCTTTAGATTAATGTTGCATGCATCTTGAAATTTCGTAGAATACTTTTACAGCAAGTCCTACCAAATATGTGTGATGCTCCTAGACATATGGGGTGTTGCAAGAAAGTTGCGATTGGTTGCAAGTTGCAAAATTTGCAACTGATATTTGCTATCGATTGTAACTCAACTTTCTTGCAACGCCCCACTAGTCTCCTAAATTTCCTAGGATTTTGTTTGGATTATAATTTTAACAATTAAATTCAGTTAACTAGATCTAGCTTTTATTCCCCCTCCCCCTCTATCTCTCTCTCTCTCTCTTTACTAATATGGCGTTGCAAGAAAGTTGAGTTGGGATCAATTGCAATTAATCGCAAGACTTGATTTGGAGGATTTGCAATTGATCGCAACTTTCTTGCAACGCCCCAGTAGGCGTACATGTAGATAGGCTACTAGGCAGCTAGCTCAATGTATCATTGAGTGAACTTGGTATGTAGTTCAGGAAAACTGGAAAAAGTACACTAAGTTAGACGAAAGAAACTTGCTAATAATAGTTTCATCTCGTAATGATTTTGCCTATTTTGTATTCTATATCGAATGGTATAGAACATCAAAGAAATTGAATTTTGGAATGAATAAAAAGAAAAAGACAATCTTGTGTCTTTACCAACTTCATTTTTATGGTCGTTGAATGGGCATAACTCCAAATTTGTAGCATTATGCCATATTTTTTTAATTTAGATCTCAGCAACTCAATTAGGGCTCCAGGTGACATACCTTTAGGTAAAATAGAAATAGAAATCCTTGAGTTCAACACTATCTTTTGGGTAGGATATATCATTTATTTACATAAATTTTCTTTTGATTTGGTAGATTGTATGTTAAGATATTCTGCTGTTTATTTATAAGTTTTAATCGTGTTTTTGTGGAAATTGTATTTTCAGTCTTTACTTACAGTGGTTTTGTTCAAGCCTTTGTTGTTTCTTACAGTGAAATTCGCTACGCTCTAGGACAGTTGAGTTGGGTTCCAGACTTCCAGAACGTAGTAACTCACTTGGAGTTACTGCCTTCTGCCTCCCATTCAACCAGTTTTCCTTAGTCATGAATAATCTTTGTTTCTAATTCATGCTGCTTAGGAAAAATTGCAATGGTGTATTAAGAATAACCTTCCTAATATTGTTGATTTTGTGTCGTGAAGAAATTGATAATTCCGTCAGCCATTTGACAAAGTGCGTCTTCATGCATGTTTTGTTGGGGGATTGTTACGAACGCTAGCTCGAAGGGAATTACAGATATATGTTGTGACTTTGTTCCATTTGAACTGTACTTTCTTTCTATGTTGTAGTCGTCCATGTTTTTAGAACCGTTTCCCAGTGTTTCTGTTATCTTTTATTTGTTTGTTTTGGTAGTGGAGAGTCAGGAGTTTTGTATTCATAGATTGTCAGGGCATTTTCTGAGATTCAGTGAACATCATTTAATATGCTATTACACATTCAATGATGCACACACCTTTCACACAAATACACACTTGAATCGAGCTATGTTTTATTGATATCATAGCTTCACCCTCTAGTGACCTTAGAAGCAGTGTAGTCAATGACATTGTCAATTGCATTTTGGAAATTGGGATATAGTCAGTGATGCTTGTCAATTAAATTTGGAATTGTCAGTTACGCTACAGAATTTGTATAAGTTACATTTTATAGTTTTGTGGTAAAAATGTATACCAAATTAGCCTATTCTGCAACTGCATGTTTCAATGTGTTTTCCAATCATCCAAGCATCAGTTGCTTATTGCATTTCAGACAACAATCTTCAATCGTTTTGTGGTCTGCCACCATACTCTATCAAAGAGTAGTAGAAATTGCAAGACCAATACCGGTAAAAGCAAATAAACCCAATTTTATTTATTTAAAGTGTTCATTCAGTAGCTTTAAATTGTCAATACTCAATCTTACCTACATTATAACTCCAATGTTGTGATTTTCTTGGTTCTTAGAGGTTACTTTCTGTTATTTTTTACTTCACCATTAAATTGTTTTTATTGTGACTATGTTCCATGTTGGAAATTTTGATTTATATATTTATGTTTACAAGATGTGCTCCAATCGTAATTAGGATACCCACTATTAGGGAACCACTGCCAAAAGGTTGACTTTCAGTCTGAATTATGATAGATGTATCAAAAGGTGTACTTTATTCCAAACGATGGGCCCTGTTTCATGAAACTTGTTATAAATATTAAGGTACTAGAAATGTTATAATCTACTGAAATCCTAACTCTTGATTGGCTATTTGATTGGCATTTGTTATTGATAACAAGTTTTATGAAACAGGGCCACGATCTGCTCGAAGATATTTTCAAGGAGATAGCTACAGGTATATCATTCCTCTAGATTTTTTCGTGGCAGGTTAGTGTGAGCACCAACACCAATATCAATTAGTTGGTGCAGTTCAGGAGGCAGACTCTTAATAAGAAGATTGTCTCTAGACTGGTAGAAAAATAAATGTACTGTGACAACTAAAAGATACATCAAAATTCAAATTTGTCCTGATAGTTCTAGCTGGACTAATCTTAGTCAGTAAGCTGACCGCTTTATAAAGATGGAACTCATTTTAACCAATGTTAGAAAGCTTCAGTAGAATTTCGTTCAGGATGCCATATGAATGTCAGATACGTATATATTACTTTATCTGTGTGCACACATTTCATTTTTTAGAGTATTCCAGTATATGCCTATGTATATTTTGTGTTCTCAAAGTTTTATTTATGCGTGATACTCGTAAGTGGAAGGGAGATAGTATATTATATTCATTCGTTATCCTATTTGCATCATATTTAATTTTATTCTGATCACATTGTGTTTGTTTTCGTGGTTCAATTCACAAACAAGCTTTATAATCGTTGAGAGGGTATATACTTATATTTACTCAAAAGCTTTTTCAATAGGTAATTTGTCTGGAGATTAAAGAATACAGAGTCCAAACATATATACAGCTTGATTATGTCCTATGACAGTAACATATTTTGTGTACAAGGAGAATTTACTGGGAGAAAGTCATGACTTTGTAAATATGCAAAAACGTCAGCTGTTTCAACATCATAAACTTAAGCAAAATGTTATGGTTGATTAGATTTGTTTACCTATTAAGGTAGGAATCATTAAAGTGGGATCATGTTGGAATATAGTCCAGAAAGGTTATGCAACAATTTTGACAAGCTTAATCTCATTTTCAGTAACTATTCATTATTATCCTTTCCTGAAACGGGTTGGAAACTGTGAAATACTTAATTGAAAGATCATGATACATCAGTTGTCTGTAAACAATGCGTCCGTTTTCATTTCCATGAAAGTATGGCTATTGACACTGTAAAGGCATGATTGTGAAAGTTACCCTGCACGGTTTATATTTTATGATTCGCGAGATTGTTCTCACTGTATCGGTTGCAGTCGAGTGATTTGTCAGTGATCTGGATTTGATTGAATTTCAATGGAAGAAGGAGAAGAAAAAAAACATACAAATAAATATTTTAGCTGTGATGCACCATAGTTCAGTATTTGATCGAAAGGTTTTTTTTTTTTCTTCACTGAATTGAGCTAAGCCAAAGATGATGGAAAGAAATGAGAGGTGTGAAAGAGTGTGTGTGAGAGAGAGAGAGAGAGAGAGAGAGAGAGAGAGAGAGAGAGAGGGGGGGGGGAGGGGGGAGAAAAAGAGAGGAGAGCGAAGAAAAAGAGAGTGGAGAGGGAGGGAGAGAGGGGGGGGAGAAAAAGAGAGGAGAGGTAAGAAAGAGAGAGAGAGAGAAAGAGAGAGGGGGGGGGGAGAAAAAGAGAGTGGAGAGGGAGGGAGAGAGGGGTAAGTGAAAGGGGAATGGATAAAGAGAGAGAGATAGAGAAAAAAAGATGGTATATACTGACAGAAAATCAGTGAGAGGTGGGAAGATGGGATTGGTAGGAGAGTGATAAGGTCTACAAAAAGGAGTTGTATTGCCCTTTAGGTGCCAAATCATGGGTCGGTCGGTCGAAAATCTTTAAAGAAAAAAATCACCTTCTTTTCTGGCTGATATTTTTAGGTTTTAAATGCTTTGATACATATTTTTGTATTCATTATATTTTATTTTTTTAACTTTAACGAAAAAAGAAAAAAAAGCCGACCGTAGATTTCAAGATTTTGGGGTCGGTCGCAAAGGGCAATACAATATTTTTTTTTGTCTAGGCCTAATATATATTGATTAAAGTACAAGGGTTAGGAGAAAGGGAGGATGAGAGGGCGGTTAAAGCTTATCTGCCATAGTTTACAGGAGGGATTAGAGCGCTCTGCAAGGTCACTGGACAGGTGGTTATCTCATCAACTCAGCTCTCAGTTAACATAAGAAAAAGAGGATCATGGGGGACCAATGGTCACCGATTAGGCTTTGGTTGTTATATAGAGGGCGCAAGTAGCTACAAGTAGTGCAATGAGTAATGGCGAAAGGGGATGGCAAAGCTAGAGCAAAAGATAGAGAGAAATACAAGAAGCAGCAATGATGAGAGGATTAGAATAAAAACGAGAGTGAGAATTAAAATCAAAAGAGGAACAGAAAAGAAAGTGAGAGAGGTGAGAAAGGGAGTGTAGGAGACAGAATGGTTGAAAGAATGAGAAGAGGGGGAAAGGGCGAATGAAGATGGAGGATAAAGGGAGCATGTAAAGATGGAAGAAAAGAAATGAGGAGAGGGGAAGAGACAGGAGAAAGACAGAAAGGGGGGGGGGGGCTCTTTCGTAGCACGAACTATCCCTCGTGACGCACAATACAAACCTGAATTGTCAGGATGTTTTGTCATGTTGTTTTGTTCCACAGACTGTAACATGGACACTACTATAACAAGTTTGCTTTAAGAATGTAATTGTAATGGGTAATTTCCAAAATATGCACAATGCAAAAAAGTCAATTACATTACAGGATAAGAACCACAAAATAATGAAGCGAAACATACAAGTTCCACAATCCGCACTTAGTAAAGCAAAATAGTCTTTGAAAAGAGAAAGGGAACAAAATACCTGCCAATATCTTGGAGCTTTGGCAAGGATCATCTGCAAAGTAATCACGAAAATGCGCTTTAAATAATTTGTGACTTTTCATTTTTAGGTTTTCTTAGGTTGTTTCTGTAAGATTATTTTTCTATTTCTGTTAGTAGAATTCTCCCTCTCTCTCTCTCTCTCTCTCTCTCTCTCTCTCTCTCTCTCTCTCTCTTTCTCTTTCTCTCTCTCTCTTTATTTTACAAGTCGCCTGTTAGAACGAGAAATGGAAAAACAGAGAGGGCGGTAGACCATTCCCAAACAAAGCTCAGAGAGAGTTGCTGATTGCAGAAAATTGCAGAAAATCCAAGTTTGTGTGCGTTCAATCACAATCCTGAAAATTCATACTACTAATCCATGTACTTCAGGCCTGTTATCATCTTCAATATTTCGTACAAGCTTTCATTTTTTGCGTTTCTCTCATATATTTGGTGATACTAAATGGTTTTCTAAATCACTAACCATAACAAATTATAGACAATAACACAGTGGCGGATCAGGGGGGGGGGGGGGGGGGGGGGGGGGGGCGGGGGAACGAGCCCCCCCCCCCCCCCCGGCTAAAAAACAACCGTTAATGACCTTTTGAGGGAGATTTTCCACATTTTCGAGGCCCCCCCCCCCCCCTAAAAAAAAAAAAATAAATAAATAAATAAAAAAATAGTGGTACTGGCTACAAAAAAGTGTCTAGGACAGTCATGCTGGCCTATGAATGATGTGCCTACCGGGCCCTGCCCCGTAAATTGTAGGTGAATGACACGCCCAGTCGAAATTATATTTATTTGTTTGTTTCTTTGTTGTATTTTTTGTGGGTGAGGTTTAAATAGCGCACAGGTTTTTTTAGATTTCGTGACACATGAGATGTCATTTGCTTTCCTTTTCGTACAGCCTACATCGTAAGATTGTGTACACCCATATTTCTTGACATATTTCTTGTCGTTTGGTATGATTTTAAAATTCAAAAGTATAACTCTTGAGATCATATTATCATTTTTTTCGTGTACCTAGTTTAATTTTCAATATCCATATTCATGCAATGATAAGAGTAAAGTACATATGAAAAACTGATGTTTTGTTTGTTTGTTTGTTTGTTTGTTTATAAGGTTGAACTTTTGGCATTTTTTTTTGTTTTGGCTATGGTATTTCGTTATATTGGAAATACTCTCTCCATCACATTTTAACTGAATGTTGATTCATTTTTAATGTCTTGTTATAATTTTGTTAAAGAATACTAAATTACGAGAATAAATAATCAAATAAGAAACTTCAATGTTTTGCATAGGTACGTGCACCCTACTCAAATCGCAATGACACTTTATTCTCATGTCACCCACATTGGGGTATTGGAGAATTTTACAGTCAGTTGGAATTTGTCAATTTAGCACTGTAAACGATTTAATATTAATCAATACAAAATAACACTATCGACAATAGTAAGAAAAATTATTATGATAGTTATAATAATAATAATAATAACAATATATTATAATTATTATCCAAAAAAAACGATAATAGTAATTACAACGATAATTAATGCCAGAATGATTAATGGAAGCAATTGAAAAAGAAAGTTACTGGTACCAGTAAATTGATATTTGAATTAATGAATTGCTGAAAATATTCTTTTTACTAAGTTTAAAAGTGTTTGTATATTACCCGCGCATCCATTGTGACATCACAATGCACGCGCATAAAGCGCGAAGCGCATTTTAAATCACTTTGGGAACCCCCTGTACACTTTGAATACATCACAGTGATTATCATTATAATCTTATCCGAGTGAACTTGCATTGAGCGTTTTCTCTAATATTTCTTTACGAATCTTCTAAGTTTTCTTCAAAAATCAGCCCCATGGGATGTACAAATTCCAGAGTATGTCCTCTACCAATCGGGTTAGTCGTAGAAACTCCACAAACTCGGCGCCGAAAGCCTAAAGGGAGATCATTATTGACGGCACTGAGGAATGTATTCCACAGGAGGAATAGAGTAAGAAAACTTCAAATTTGAGTTATTCTGCTACAATCTAAAATATCTGTTAAATTCTAATATTTATACAATTTTATTTGGATAAAGATATCAACAATTTTTTAAATCAAGTAATTTACTACCATTAAAGGGCATACTCGAAATAAGTAAGATAATGTTAGTAGGTAAATCATAATTCGATAAAGGTACTTAGACCTACATGTTAAATAAGAAAAGCAAACACATGTGATGACGAGGAAACTTAGACAAAGAGCAGGAGAAAAACAGGCAGACAGAGGGAGAAGGGGGAGGGAGGGAGAAAGTGATATATATATATATATATATATATATATATATATATATATATATATATATATATATCAAGTTGCGAGAAAGAAAGAGAGAGAGAGAGAGAGAGAGAGAGAGAGAGAGAGAGAGAGAGAGAGAAAGAGAGAGAAGTTTGAGGGGTAGATACTAATACTGAATGATAATTACGATTTATTAGAAATAATTATTGCATCGCAGTTGCCTGGATGCCATTGAGCTTGCATAAGAAACAAATATTTACTTGTGCTTTTAACATCCATGATCTAATGTTTAACCTCTAAGGCAGTTTTTTTTAATGAGCATGCCACTTTATCCAACATTGCTGACAGGTGGTGCCCATCAAAGATTGTGAATTTGATGACGACATCGACCAGCCTTCGACATCTTACCCAAGAGACTACACAATCAACGTACAAGAATTCCTGGCTTATGGTAAGTTTATAAGAAAGAAAAACAATATTCCAATCTATTTGTTTCTTTATTAATTAATGAATGATATATTTTTTAATTCATTTACTTATTCATTGAATTCATTCATATAATTTCTTTGTTTATTTATTCATCCATGTACAGTGCATATCTTTACATTAATTATATTCTCTACTTCATTTATCTATTTATTTTATTTACTTTATTTACTTGTTTGTTAATTAATTCATTAATTCATTCATTCACTTATTCACTTAAAACAGTTTGATCATTCGCGGCCTGTGAGAACATTTGCAGATGCGCTTCCCCCTCCCTCCTTTTATTTTAGATGTACAAGGATGCGATGCTTTCCTGTTTCAGTCACAAATCAAAAGGAAAATCAACCAAATCATGTGTCGTGTACACCAAAGGTAGAATGTAGAACATCAATTTAATATTGAAAATTCAAGGATTGTTTGAACAATATAGTTATACATGACGCAAGTGAATGTATGGACGAACTAATATATAGAAATAGATGATGCGTTTCGCCACAAACGGGCACCAAATATGACTTGTAATGGCTATTGTCACCTGCAATCATAGCATAGAGAGAGAGAGAGAGAGAGGGGGGGGGAGACAGAGAGAGAGAGAGAGAGAGAGAGAGTCAAAAATTGCTGTGTGAATTGATGACTGACATAATTATGGGGGAATTGGACCCGAACGCAAAATTATATGATTGATGATGAGACAGTGACCCAACAGTTTGTTTATTATTAATTTTTCATCTATTTTGTTC